AAGGCTGAGGGTTAATTAGCTGCCATTCTTAGTTCTATTTGTTGTTCTAATAAAGATATGCATAAATCTAAGACCGGGAGTAACCAATACTTGATTTTCATTTGGAAGGTGCTGGGGGGTAGGGGGAAGAGCTCATCCATCTTGAGTGTTGATGTTTGTGGGTATGTTCAGAGCATTTTCATTTGACCTGGTCTGTACAGTTCTGCCTATTTGAAGAGTGGCCAACAAAGACTTCATGGTTGTATGAAAGTAGGACCCTGATGCCCAGGCTGAACCATGAGGCAGCTTTTAGTTTAAAGGCAGATGACAGGGAAATGAAATACACAGGGCAAAGGTCAGAGCCCAAATGCTTCCCTCACAGAACAAAAGAGTCAAATTACACACCTTTTACAGATTACACTGCTGCTCATCTTTGGCAGTTAAAAAGAAATCCTTATTATGGAAAATTTCAAACATATTCAAAGGTAGACTAGTATAATGAACCCCCCCCAATGTACCCATCACTCATCATTCAACACTTACAATGGTCAATCTCATATCTTCCACATCTCTATCTACTTCTGATCTTTCTGGATTATTTTGAAGCAAATTCTAGATATCAAAGAACTCTATTTGCAAATAGTTCATTTTTCTAAAAGGTAAGGACATGTAAAAAAATTCATAATCAAATTTCTGTTTTATTATGCCTAAAAATTTCTGGCAATAATTCCTTAGTATCAAGTGCTCAGTTTTCAAATTTCCAATTATCTCATAAAAGTCATACATTTGGGGGCGCCTGGGTGGCTCAGTTGGTTAAGCGACTGCCTTCGGCTCAGGTCATGATCCTGGAGTCCCGGGATCGAGTCCCGCATCGGGCTCCCTGCTCAGCAGGAAGCCTGCTTCTCCCTCTCCCACTCCCCCTGCTTGTGTTCCCTCTCTCGCTGTGTCTCTCTCTGTCAAATAAATAAAATCTTAAAAAAAAAAATTAACCACAAAAGAGCAAAAACAAACTTCAAAAGATAAAATCAAATAGCACAGAGCTTAAATTTTGTATATGCTTGAAAAGAGAGTATTGACAAATAAGAGCATTCCATGAAAAATGGAAATCTGATTAGTACTTTTAAACTTCAGCAATTCACGGATTAAATCATGTTGACCAAGGAGGACTAAATTCCAAGAGCCTGGAAGGTTGGTCCTGGCCTTCTGAGCTTATCATCCTCTACTCCTTTCTGCTGCCACTCTGTTCCTCAGCGGTGTGACACAGCCAAACTGGTAGCCAGGTGATGTCTGACAAATAAGAGTGCCCTGGCAGGCTCAATCAACATCACTGTGAAGTGTGAACAGGCCTATAAACTCAGCAGTTGGACCTACGTAGGCCGTGGCACTGGGAACAGAATGACTATCACCAGTGCACCCGTCCACTGGCTGGTAACTGTTGGACATTTTGCCACCCGAGAGATAATCCCTCCTAGGAAATAATGCAACAGGGACTACTAATTGAAGGTTAGGCTTTTTCCAGAGTTTAAATCCAAGAGTGTCAGTGCTGAGGTGGTGGTGTTTAGAGATTATTCAATACTCTCTTCTCTCAATTAAATTCAACTGAGTAGGGATTTATCAGCCATTGAATGTATGGCTATTTGGAGTCCTAAAAACTCTGGGAAATGACATCAACAGCAGTCCATGACTGTTTACAAAGGGCTTGCACGTGTACCTCACAGGAATGCCATGGTTTAGGTAGGGCTGATGGTTATCTCTGTTTTGTATAAGAAACTGAGTCTGAGGAAAGTTAAGTGACCAGTACAAGTCACACAACTAACAGTGGAGCTGATACTAAAATCTGTAACTGCTGACTATAAACACCAAGCAGTAAGGATGTGCAGCTTCACCCTCAAACATTTAACATCTATGAATAGACCAAAAATTCTTAAAAGAGACAATGTAAATTATGAGAGAAGTATGAAGATTGATTAAAAAATCAGTTTATGGGCACCTGGGTGGCTCGGTCGGTTAAGCGACTGCCTTCGGCTCGGGTCATGATCCTGGAGTCCCGAGATCGAGTCCCGCATCGGGCTCCCTGCTCGGCAGGGAGTCTGCTTCTCCCTCTGACCCTTCCCCCTCTCATGCTCTCTCTCTCATTCTCTCTCAAATAAATAACTAAAATCTTAAAAAAAAAAATCAGTTTATGTGGGGAGAAGAGTGAGAAAACCCTTTTAAAATTGGTTAAATTTATATCCTTATGCAAAGCCTACTTCGAAACTAATAGCACTCTAATGTTAAAATAGCTCTACAGATTCAGTATAGGAAAATCTTATTTATTTGTATTCTACCCAACTTATATGTGTGATCATTGAAGATAAGGTTAGATTGAAGTTTAAGTTAAATCCGGGGGGGGAAATCTGCAGATCGGAAGTGACCCAGAAAAGAGTGTGAAGTAAATCCATCGAAAAGAATGGACATTTTAACTTGTTTAACATAAACAAGTCTTTTCAAGACTCTAAAAGTGTGAACACATGTATAGATGATGTGCCAATTAGGAAACGTTCTTATATGTGTTTAAAACATTTAGTCCCGGGGCGCCTGGGTAGCTCAGTCATTAAGCGTCTGCCTTCGGCTCAGGTCCTGATCCCAGGGTCCTGGGATTGAGCCCCGCATTGGGCTCCCTGCTTGGTGGGAAGCCTGCTTCTCCCCTCCCCCCACTCCTCCTGCTTGTGTTCTCTCTCTCGCTGTGTCTCTCTCTGTCAAATAAATAAATAAATCTTTAAAAAAAATAAAATAAAACATTTAGTCCATTGGCATGTATTTTACAAACAATATTCTATTCTTTTATCAGATGGGCTATAACTAATTGGTAAAACTTAAGGTTTTATCTTTAGGCTTATTCTTTACTTTTTCTTTATCCTTTAGGCTTATTCTTACTATCAACAGCATTATTTTCAAAATCTATTTATTTATTTGATTTTGCTTTAGCCATGGTGATTTTATTTTTATTGTTTTGCAGAATGTATCTGTAATTTTCTGAGACACAGCAAAAGAAAACTCTAATTTACTGAATAGAAATCTTTTTGATTGCTGAGAGAAGGCTTTGGTGGGATGAATGTATTAAGCGGGAATTACCTGTATAGAGAACAGTTTCCCACATATGAGCTGATTCAGAGAGATAGGCCCATTTCAACTGATTGGGAGACCAAGCAGGCCTGGCTACCACTGGGATAAGGAATGCCTCTCAGCATGGAGCTTTTTCTCTAAGTGTGAAGTTATACCTTCTTCCATGTGTAAGAAGTGAGGATATTTGGGCGCCTGGGTGGCTCAGTTGGTTAAGCGACTGCCTTCGGCTCAGGTCATGATCCTGGAGTCCCTGGATCGAGTCCCACATCGGGCTCCCTGCTCGGCAGGGAGCCTGCTTCTCCCCTCTGACCTTCCCCCCTCTCATGTGCTCTCTGTCTCTCTCATTCTCTCTGTCTCAGATAAATAAATAAAATCTTAAAAAAAAAAAAAAAAAGAAGTGAGGATATTCATCTAGTGCTCAGAAGTGCCTCATAAATACTACGGTCTCAAAAGTTTCTTTCTTTTCTCCCCCTAGTTTTATTGAGATATATTTGACATAAAACACCACTAAGTTTAAGGTGTAAAGCATGATGACCTCATGTCAAAAGTTTCTTGAATAAGTGACTTACTTCTCAAAATAAAATTTTCTCTGAAAATACCACTCCCCTCTAAATTTCAGCAAAGCCCAGAAGTACTCTTTTGGGAGTGGGGAGGCAGATGCAGTTCCATGTCCACCATTTCCAGGAGGACTACCTGGTTTAGGCCTCATATCACACAAAAAATGTCTTTTGATGACATTACCTCTAAATGAAGTTTTACACAGTCATATAGACAAATGGGATTGAAATAGGAATGAGACAGAACACAGTATATGTCATTCAGTTTTAAATTAGTGCAGCATTACTGAACTTCACTATCTGGGGTAAAAGTAAGAAATAATTTAAAAAACATAATGATCTTGCACAATTACATTTTATTTTCCTTTTGGTTGAAGTATTTTTATATATCCTTATTTTAAAAAGTTTCTACTATTGAAAAATAACACACAGAATTTGAACGGATAATTTATAATTACAATTTATATTTTATAAACAAGCCAGGAGCCTAAAAGAGACCCTGATTCCCCTCTGTCATTTCTCTCTTGTCTAAAATTTCACTTACGCCCCGTGAACAGTTTATTCCTGAACGTGGAAGATAGAACCTCACGAAATATTAACACTACTAATTAAATACTCAAAGAAGAGTTTCTCATTGAAAACATCAATGAAAACTCTGTAACGACCTTTGGATTTTTGTAGTTTCCAAAATAAACCCAAATATGTAAAAAATTGGCAGTTGGTCTTCTGGTTAAAAGAAGCTGGTCAAAGACACATAATCATACATCTAGGACAACAAAGAAAGTAAGAACTTTCAGCATTAAGCACACCAGCAAAAGCCACAAAGGCGTGGCCATAAACTCTCTTTAGTTTTCCTGGGAAGTTGTTATTTCCTAGTTGAGGACCATTCAGCTTTCCTGTTCTGTTAGCTTGAAAGGACGCATGGTTATTAAAATGCCAACAAGGTCACGTCTGCATGGTGCTGCTTGGTTGTTATCAGATTTTAATAGCCTACATTTCTCAAATTAACATCTTCTGGTAGGCATCTAATTAAAGATTAAGCCATTCAATTTGAATTTTTATTATTATTTGGCAGCAGAATGTAACGCATTCTTTAAATGCATTTCCCAATCCAAAATGATTTTTCATTACTTTTTATCACACTATGCTTTTTCCTTCTTGGCAAATAATAGGTCTTAAAAAGACTAATGAGAAGACCCACTTAAAAAGAAAGCAGTTACACACCATGGAAATTTAAAATCAATAATAATAATAGTTATAGTAGCAGTAGTAGTGGTGGTGGCAGTAAACAATTCACTAAGGTCTGACATTTAAGTCTTGAATAGACTTGAATTCAGTATTGGACTTAAAGTCTCTTACCAGGGTTGCAATCTGTAAGAAGTGAGCAGATGGAGAGGAGAACTTTAGAAATTGTTAGGGCTGGACTCCAGTTGTCCTTTAGGATGTCCAGACAGATGACGCCTTGGCTGTTAATATTACAGTGATAGATTCTTGTTCGGAAGGTAACCTAGAAGAAAATGTAAAGTTGTTATGAACAGACATACTTTTTATTAGACAAAATAATCCAAGGGTCGCTGGTTGAACCATATACTTAAATTTTCCTCAGGAACATGAAAAAAATCAATAAACAAAATCATTATTTTAGAATTTGTTATTCTGGACACAAAGAACTAAACCCCAATGACGAAATCATGTCCTTTTGCTTTTGATGAAGAGTCTGATTACTTAACTAATGTTCTGGGGACTGAATTTGCTCTTAGTGCAATTGTAGGAATGTTCGTAAGAGAAAAACTGTGACTTCTAAAAACATTTCAAAGAAAAAATTTCAAAATAAAAAATTTCAAAGGAAACTTGTTGGAGTCCATTTGTTTTAAGGATTTTGTATATTTTAAAGTTGGAAACAGCATGGGAATACTATAAAAAAGGACATAAATATTATTTGTCATGGTTTAAAGACATGAATTAGGCATGTATGTAAATAATATACATAGTTTATAAAAATATTAGTTACAGTTTATGAGCCTTTTCCTCCTTAAATTCTGTATCTTGAATATAATATTAGCATAACCTATCTCTGTCCTATGATAGCTAGATCACCACTGCACTTTGTTTAGGTATAATTTTGAAACATGTTTATAACATTTTTAAAGAACTTCAATTCAAAAGTTAAGTCTAAATCAGTTTTATAACTCTGGTAAAACTCTGTTTTATAAAAGTCTGAGGTAAGCAATAATAAGATCTTAACACTATTTATTAATATCATGTTTATAAGTATTCTCAAAATTTAAGTTGAAATATAAAAAAAATCTTGATGTGTTAAAGAACAGTCTTCTGGGGACGCCTGGGTGGCTCAGTTGGTTAAGCGACTGCCTTCGGCTCAGGTCATGATCCTGGAGTCCCGGGATCGAGTACCTCATCGGGCTCTCTGCTCAGCAGGGAGTCTGCTTCTCCCTCTGACCCTCCCCCCTCTCATGCTCTATCTCATTCTTTCTCTCAAATAAATAAATAAAAAGAAAAAAAGAACAGTCTTCTGGTTCCCTAAGTTCAAAATGGCGATGAGCTAAAAAATGCATGGCAGATTTTGTTGCCACCTCTCCAGGGCATCCAGCATCCACTCAAACATCAGATTTACTTAATTTATAAAATCAAGACTCAGAAAGGACAGACAGATCTCGTCTTCTACAATTAGTGAACAACACAGTACCATTCTCAGGCTAGATTAATACTCCTAATAAGAACTACCCTTCTAGGGCACCTAGGTGGCTCAGTCGGTTAAGTGTCTGTCTTCAACTCAGGTCATGATCTCAGGGTCCTGGGATTGAGCCCATGTCTGGCTCCCTACTCAGCAGGTCAGTGGGGAGTCTGCTTCTTCCTCTGCCCCTCCCCCTCTCATGCTCATGCTCATTCTCTCTCTCTCAAGTAAATAAATAAAATCTAAAAAAAAAAAAAAAAAAAAAAAAGCCCTTTTAGGAACATGCCAGACCTTACAGATAACTTCAACATTCCTTCTACACAAAGACATTCCAAACACCTAGCAATGACGAAGAAAATATAACATTAAAAAAAAAAAAAGCATAGCTGAATTTGCACAGAGAATCCCCAGAGGGCAGAATTGAAAACCCAAAATTACAGTAAGTACATGAGCTGACAGTGTAGCTACCAGGGGGGGACCTACGGAAGAGAGAGGGGGGGAAGGATAGTAGCCAGTCTGGATAAAATGGAGGCTTGGGTTTTGATGCCCTCATGGAGAAAGGTGAAACCTTAGGTCTACGTGTGGCAAGAGGCTGGAATTGAGAGCCCTTACATAGATTAGGACACTTGAGCAGCTAGTCTTTTAGTAAATGGAGGGACTTGAAAAGATAATGCCTTCTGGGAGAGATAGCAAAGACACTTGCTGGAGAAAGCCTAGGCTCTGAAGTGAGGAGAAAAATGTTTCCCCTGAATTCTAAATCCTGGGCGTATGTACTATGCAAATACCAATTGAAAAAGAGCTTAAATGGCTATATTACTATCAGATCAATATATATATATATATATGTTTAAGGCAAAATGAATAAAGATAATTGCTGCATTATGATAAAATGAACAATTCATCAGAAAAATACAACAATTCTGAATCTGTTGTACTTAAAAAGATAGCCAAAAATATAAAAAGTGAAACTTAGCAGAATTATAAGGAGAAAATGACACATCTACAATCAGAGGGACATTTTGCTGCAGTAACTGAAGTCATGCAGACCAAAACGTAATAAGGATACTGAAAATAGGAACAACCAAATTAACAAAATGAAGGGATTGAACGAAGATGAAATTCCACACTCAACAAAGAATATATATTCTTTTCCAAGCACATAAGAAACGTTTATAAAAAACTGATCACATGCTATGCCACAGAGGAAGCTTAACATATTTCAAAGAATTATTAAGACCACAAAGATTCTCCATCAAGTGTTTGGGAAACTGAAAAACACATTTTTCAAATAATTCTTGGATCAAAGAAAAAAAAATCAGCTACATTTATAACTGAATGACAATTGCCAATACCAAACTTTGTGATTTGGCTAAAACAGTTGTCAAAAAGAAATCTATAGTTTCAAATACATAAAGTAGGAAGGAGGAAAGACATTTAATGAGTATTTAAGGAAAGAAAAAGAACAGAGTTAATCCCATAAAAGTAGAAAGAAATACATGAGCAGAATTTAATGAAATGGAGAATACCTAGTAATATTAAAATTCTGCAGAGAGGTCTGAGTGCCTGTTCCTTTAAGTGCTACATGAAAAGACAAAATATTTTTATGACCCAATGTAAATGATGAGTGGCTTTTATATACAATGTTTTAAAAACCTATCAGATACTGATTGGCTATTCGGAGCTAGTTAATCCTCAAAACAACTCAGAGGTAAGTAGTATTATTGTACCTACTTTTAAAATAAAGAAACTGTAACTCTGTGAGGTGATGGATGTTAACTAAACTTATTGTGGTAATCATTTTGCAATACATACAGAAATCATTACGTTGCGTACCTAAAATAAATAGTGTTCTATGCCAATTATATCTCAATAAAATGGCAGAAAAAAAATAAATGAAGGCACCGAGGGGTTAAAGAACTGGCATGTGGTTGCACAGTTGGTAAGTGGAGGAGCCAGAATTTGAACACAGCTTTGTTGACCCAAAGCCTCATACTCTCCTACTTAGCCTCAATGCCTGGTTTTTTTTTTTTTTTACTTTTAATTTTGAGATAATTATAGATTCATACTGTGTTGTAAGAATAATACCGATGGATCATATATGTTCCTCCATCCACTTTCCCCCAGTGGTAACATCCTGCAGAACTGTAATATGGTATCACAGGAAACTCACACTGATACAGTCCGCTGACCTTTTCCACTTATCACCAGTTTTATATGCACTCATGTACACCTGTTTCTATGCAATTTTATCAGATGTAGATCTGTATGATCACAATTACAGCCAAGATACAGAACAGTTCCTTCACAAACATCCTCTGTGCTACCATTTAACTGGTGCAGTCACCTTCCCACTTTCCTCTCTTGATTCTTGACAAACCACTACTCTCCGCTTCATCTCTATGATTGTCATTTCAAGAATGTTATAAAAATGGAATCATATAGAATGTAATTTTTTGAAATTGGCTCTTTTTACTTGCACAATTCCCTTGAGATCCATCTAAGTTGTTGCATTATCAAAAGTTTGTTCCTTCTTATTGCTGGGTAGTATTCCATGGTATGATGTACCAGTTTGTTGAACCATTTACTGTTGAAGGACAAATGGACTGTTTCCAGTTTTTAGCTATCACAAATAAAGCTGCCATGAACATGTGTGTGTGTGTGTGTGTGAACTTTAGTTTTCATTTCTGAGATAAATGCCCAAAAATGTAATTGTTGGGTTGTATGATAAGCTTATATTTAGTTTTATAAGAAACTGCCATAATTTTTTCCAGAGCAACTGAACTATTTTACATTGCCACCAGCAGAGTGATCAGTTTCTCTGCATCCTTGCCAGCATTTAGTTTACTGTGCTTTATTTTAGCCATTCTGATTGGATGTAGTGGTTGGTAACACACTGTGGTTTTAATTTGCATTTTCCTAATTGCTAATGATGTTGAACACTTTTTCATGTGCTTATTTACTATCTGGATACCCTCTTTCTTAAAAAAGGATGTTCATGTCTTTTGCCCATTTTCTAATTAGATTGTTTTTTATTGTTGACTATTTTAAGTGGAGATACTTCATTAAAAGTGAAGTATAGTTGGATGAAAAATAAAGCATGAGTTTGCAAAGAATCTTGTGGATTTTTTGGACAGAGAAGGCTTTACACTTTAATGTTTTATAATACCGATTAAAGGATCTACTTTGGTGATGTTTGTTAACTTTTGTCCCAACAGGTGTTCATAAATAAACCATACTGAATCAAACAGGTAGTTCGATTATTCCTATATTTTAATGTTCTAGGCTCCCACAAATAGTACTTATGTATTTTTTTAATTTGTGTATGGTTGACATACAATGTTACATTTCTTTCAGGTGCACAACACAGACATTCAACATCTCTATACATTATGCTCTGCTCACCACAAGTGTAGCCACCATACAATGCTATTAAAGTATCATTGACTATATTCTCTATGCTGTACCTTTAATTCCTGTGACTTATTCATTCCATAAGTGGAGTCTGTATCTCCCACTTCCCTCCACCCATTTTGCCTATTCCTAACCCCTTTCCCTCTGTTACCATCAGTTTGTTCTCTAAAGGTCTGATTCTGCTTTTTGTTTATTCATTTGTATAGATTTTTTTTAGATTCCACACATAAGTGAAATCATATGGTATTTGTCTTTCTTTAACTTACTTCACTAAACATAATACCCTCTAGGTCCATCCACATTGTGGCAAATGGCAAGATCTCATCCTTTTTTTATGGTTAATATTCTACTGTATATATACATACTACATCTTCTTTATCCATTCACCTATTGAAGGGCTCTTG